CTCGACGTACCCGATGCTGCAGGATGACGCCGAGCTGCTGACGCCTCCTCCTCCTACAGCGGTGATGAAGAACGTCCGCTTCCTCAGCCCGCTGCCAAAGGCTGGAGACCGTTCGACGGCCTCGACAACATTTTCATCCGTATTAAATTCATACCTGGTGAATGACGCTCCCGCTTCAAACTCGAATCGTTCACATCGTCAAAATGTGGCTATTCCGCCCAAGACTGTACCCCCGTTCGCTTCTGAATGTCCATTCTTTTTTGCCCAACATATCTTATTTGATGTTCATACGGTTCATCTTTTTCGTTACCTTTCTTTCCTCCTAGTATGTACAAGTGTGTAATTTGTGAAAATCGATGTAAGTTTACAAATAACAGCAACATCGTACTATATACCTAGAGAGGAAAGAAATATGCAATGCATACACATAAGGTAAAAGGGTATCGCCTGTGTGCAACCCCAAGCAGACAGTGGCATGGCAGGTGACAGGGCTCTGACCTCCTATGCTCTTGTGAAAATGGTAGGGTCGCGTCTGGATGACGACGCGCCGTGCTGTGGAGAAGGCGAACGGGGTCGCTTGGCTGCAGATGATGATGACACTGCGCGAACCGCGCTCTCGAGTCTCTGAATCAACGCCTCGCGACTGTGATGTCACGGAAATGTCAAGGCATCGGAGGGCCATAATGAATGTGAAGAGGGTCAATGAATATGCGGGGCATCGGATGGCCAATTGAATGTATGTACAAGACATCGGAAGGCCAAGTGAGATGTACTTAATGGCAGTAATGCAAAGATGTGATATGAAAGAGAAAGGGAGAAACGACAACCATTAGTACATCTTTCTCTGCATGATAGAAAAGAGCACTGCATACAGTCTGTAGCTGAGCCGTCGACTCGTTCGCAATGATGTCGTTGTACGTGGCTTCCAAGGTCTTGATGTAATGTCTCCAATGTTCCAAAGTTGGCGCATGCTTTCGCAATAAGCGAGGAGCGCGCTTTCCCAGGACTCCACGCTTTGCGTAATCGAGTTTGAAAAAACAAATCGTTGAGAGCATGTTGAATGTGGTCGGCGGGCCAGTTGTCGGTAATAATGGCACGGATGTAGCCGTTGTAGACGCGCCCTCCGGATCCCGATGACTTTGTGCCTAGTTGTATTGTGTATACCGATGGAAGTTGTGCCTCGAATGGTGCACTCAACGCAAAAGCTGGTAGTGGATTGTGGTATGGTTCCGACCACCCCAAGAATATGAGTGTTCCTATTCCGACAACGTTGGTGCAGTCAAATGCGGTTGGTGCAATTCATTATAGTGCGAGTACGACACCATCAAGGACTGTACTCATACATGTAACCGACTCTCGTCAAACGTTGGATGCTCTTGTTCGACACCTGCCTCAGTGGGAGGACCGTGGCTGGGTCGGTGTTCAGAATCGTGTCCTAGTTCAGTCAACAATAGCAGTGTTGCGAAAAAGGAGGGCACTGACAGGTTTCCAGTGGGTAAAGGGCCACTCCGGGAATGTTAGAAATGATGGTGCGGACAGTTTAGCCAAAGTTGCAACGACGATGACGGCGGATGGGCCCAACGTTATATGTCTCCTACCTGGAGGATTATTGTTGCCTGGAGCGAAGCTGTCTTGCATGAGCTTGCGATTGTTGAGGCTCGCCATACATGAGCGATCCACTACGCCCCGTACGAAGTCGTGTTCCCGTATTCTTGATGTGGTTGGAGATGAGGTTCTGAACCAAAGCGGTGATAGGCCAATGGTTGATGCTATATGGAAGTCGGTCGCGCATAGGGACTTGTCCCGGAACGTTCGTCAATGGTTGTGGCATTCCTTGCACGGCGCGTATACCCTTGGACGTCGTTGGTTGTATATTCCCGGCTGCGCAGATAGAGCTTTTTGTGAGTATTGTGGGCAGGAAGATACTATGGCTCACATTCTCTTTGACTGTGACATTCCTGGTCGGCGTACGATATGGGAATTGGCGGAGTCAGTCGTGGTAGCGAAGAAAATCGAGTGGCATCAGCCCTCAGTTCAGTGTTCGGATCAGGTTTGATCCGCTTACAGTCCCCGTCGCGCCAGTACTTGCCTGGTTCATCACGTCTTCTTCGAATAGTTCTGTCTGAATCAGCTCATCTCATATGGACGTTGCGATGTGAACGGGTGATTGAAAATAAGAATGCTCCGGCACGTTGGTTGACTCCAGAGCGTCTTCAAAGTAGGTGGCTTCAAAGAGTGAATGACAGGATCCGTGTTGACTGTCTTCTGATGTCACGAGCTAGATTTGAGGCGGCATTATCTGAGCGCACAGTTCGTCGGGTACGCTGCAGGATGAGGGAGCTCTGCCGGTGAATTGGATCCGGCAGCCTGAGTTTTTAGTGGGTATACGCACGCCCCCAAAACACGGTGTTCCGCTAGCATCGGTGCGGTAAGTCCCACACTGGCTGGATCCCTCCCAGTCGAGCGAGTGCTTTTCTCAGGGTGGAGGCTCCCTCTACCTGTGCTCACCCTTATACAGAAACCATACATATTTCCGGGGGCTTACTCGGACCTTAAAGCGGGCTATCGGGTTCTCACCAAGTGAGCGTCCGTTAGTCCTATGCTTCCACAAAAAAAAAAAAGAATAGGTCCAGTCCATGGTACTCTCGCCCACTAATTTCCCAGAGACAGGCTCCTGTCCGAGAAGAATGCGTAAACCATCCGCGACAGCGTCATCGGCGGCAGAATTGTCCAAATCAGCAGCAGACTTCAAAGCGTCGGGATTCCAGTACATCAAGGATATGTAACGGCGAGCTTGAACGAGTTTCAGAGCGGTCGGGTGAACGAGACCGTGGACGTAATTTGGCGCCTTGGTGTTCGAGTCGAGACGCCGAGCTGAGGCTTCTGTCTATGATGGCCTGAAGCGCGTCCTTGGAGGCGCGCGCTCTGCTAGTTTTCTCTGCTGCCAAACGCTGGTCTTCGGAGGCGTCAGCCGCAATTGGCATCCACGCACTTGCTCCTATCATTACCTTCTGTCCACAGTTTGGTAAGGAAATTTGCCGAGCCTTCTCAGCTCTCGAGTCCTTCACTCAGCAAAGAGAAATCCGGGCAAACGAGAAGGCAAAGTAGATGAAAGGAGTGTTGTCGGTAGACAAAATCGGATTAGAAATGTTGTTTAAAAAGCAAGGACTGTAGAGTTTGAGATGACTACAGGACGAGACTTGAGGCAGTCAACGGCGCAGGAGACAAGAAGTGATCGACGTTGACTGCCTCTTTCGTACATAACCTATAATCTCCCTTCTTTCCTCCTCGTATAGTATAGAAGTGTGTAATTTGGTGAAAATGTAAGTTTACAGATAACAGCAACATCGTACTATATAACCCTAGAGAGAAAAGAAATATACAACGTATACACATAAGGTAAAAGGGTCTGCATGGGTATCGTAGTAAAGTCCTGTCCGATGATTCACGTCGACCGCACGCATACTCGTCGGTGCTCCTCCCAGTCATTCCTCTGATGCTCGGTGGAGCAATACTTGACGAGCTTGCATTTACTGCACGTCTGACCGATAACCTTGTTCGACTCCATGCTGTTCTCGGACCCTTCGCTGCTCGACCCACCAGACGCCTCTTCATCAAAGCAGACGGAGCATTCGATCCAATTGCACATCTGGCGCTGGCGTATCCGACGACCAAACTTTCCACCGCGTTTGATATCAAGGACTGAGGCTGTGTCGAGCCCGCGTCGCGGAAAGCGAATCATTTCGCAATCTTCGGTGCAGCAGGGATTAGGGCAGCCGGTGGGGTAGTCGTAAAAGACGTCCTCATCGGGCACAAAGGAGGGATGAGTGAACAGGATCTGGGAATAGGAGGTCGTCTGATGGAGAATAGGACGATGAAGCGCGGGCGCTTTTCGTAAAGGATAGCTCGAAGAGTAAGGTCGATCTGGGGAAAGCAAGGATTTCGACGCTGCCTGACGAGCATGTGGGATATGCGCATATCTGGCAATGAAATCAGAAAAAGAGAATGAAAGCAGGAGACGACTTACGTTCATACTGTATCTTGCGCTCCATAGACGGTTTACAGTCCTTCCAAAGGCCTGCCGACAGACAAGCTTAAAGTAGGCTGTTACATCGTCCATCTCCTGTCGCTTGAGATCGGTGACGATAATGTATATCTCGTCGCAGCCGACGTCGTGCATGCCGCGCAGGATCATGAGTTCTGGGAGCTGTACAGACTGAAATGAGGCAAAATACGCGCGCAATCCGGCGACGACACGCACCATGGTAAAGACAACGGGCATCATGGAAAGCTTGCGCTCCTCCATGGACTGGTGGTGATAGACATGGGTCGTCCATGTCCTGTCGAGGGGTATCAGCCGCCCTGTATCGACTGTGCGACAGAAAATGTTCTCTGGCACGAATTCGCCCTTGTTCCAGACGATGATCTGCTTGCTGTGGTTGTGGGCGTGCTTTCTTTCGCGGACGTCGCGAAACCACTCGTGGTATGCGTCGTGTGTCGAGCCGCGATGCTCTAGCCATTTATCGATGAGCATGTCCGTCGAGTCGTGATCCAGCGTCGTCTTGACGAGCTCTGTCATCGTCAACGACGGCGGAGAGAATAGTGAATAGTACTGGTTTCGCGGCATGCTCGTGGTGGGAAGGATGAAAGCAATAAACAGCCAAACAAAGACAATGATCCATCCTCACCGCCACTTTATATACCTTACCATCACCCTTGTATTTTCTGTGGCGATGTATCCTTCTTCAACAGTAATCAAACCCAACAAAAGAACAATAGCCATCATCAACCTTTCTCGTACGCGAATCGTGATCACTGATGGTTCTAGCCGCACCACCATTTGCAACAATTCGTCTAGGAAATTTATCCACACTCTCAAACAAAGCCTACAACTCATCTTCAGACAGTCTGAAGGTGGGTAGGAAGGGAGCTGTATCAATTGCTGTATAACAAAGTGAACATCCAACGCCACAAGATGTCTCTTCCTTACTCAGAAACACGGTGAGATGGCCGAGCGGTTAAGGCGCCAGACTAAGGATCACGTGACTCTATCACGATTAAATCTGGTCCGAAAGGGCGTGGGTTCGAATCCCACTCTCATCACTACTTTTGTGGAAGCATTTTTGAATGTGGCGCAGGCTATAGGGTGGCGCAGTAAACCTCCCGGGGGTGTTAGTAACGGTATCAATACCGACCCCCTGGGAGGCCCTAGTTTCGATACCGTTAGTAACGGTTTCGATACCGGCACGTGTTTTGGACACGTGATGTGGCGCAGCGGCTTGCCGCCCCCATCCCGCCCTTGTCCCACCAATCTTAGCCTCTCTAAGCGCCAGCGCGCCGTCACGTGAAATGATCACATGTTGGTATCGAAACTGTACTGATACCTCAGCCGAGGTTTCAATACTGTATCAATACCGTTACTAACCGCAGTAAACCCGAGGTGTATCAAAACCTAGGGTTTACTTCACCACCCTAGCAGGCTAAATTTTTTTTCTGCTTAATATTGTCTAGGGTTGCGCAGTATATTCCCCGACGCGGTTAGCAACCTCGGCGGAATATACCCTCATTTTGGGGTGTGTTATTAACTGTTAGTAACCGTTATTAACCGTGCACGTGATGAAATGTGGCGTATTTTTCCGGTCTGAAGCAAAATTTTCTTCTCAGGCCCTCAGAAACCTGTCCAGTGGCTTCAAAATCGTCTAATTTGAGTTCTACTTATTCTCTGATGAATCTATGTGGTTTAGTGGCTCATTATAATCCTCTGGCCCACAAATCACTCTCCTCCTCACCGATCCCGCCCCGACGCGCCCCGCCTGCTCACATGACTGCATCATGTGATAGGTTAATAACCGCCGAAAACTTACCTCTCGGCGGGGGTGTTAATAACCCGGTTAATAACCGTTATTACATCAGGAAAACAGCAACTCCGTCTTGCCGGTCTTGGTCTTGCCTGGCCCGTCTTGCCGAGTCTTGGTCTTGCTGTATGAATCTTTCTGGTCTTGCTCTTGCAGACCAACGTCTTTTCAGTCTTTCTCTTGCCGTCTTGTTGCTTGCCGTCTATCCTTATTCTTGCTGTCTTACTTTATTCTTGCCAAGGGTTCCCAAATTTAAAAAAGCATAAGTTATATTTAAGTCAGATAAAGGCTTGCGATGCACATGAAGCTAAAGAGCGTGTCTCGCACCAGTTGATGGTGTATGTGGGCTGATAGAGAGACTCAACAGTGCTTAGAGTACTGTGCAGGCTTCGGGGCGGCGTATGCAGGTGGATGCTGGGCCGTGCCCGTCGTCGGGTACATCTTTCTGCGTCTTGATGCCGCTCTCGGTGTGGCGGTGAGGTATGGCCCGTTTTGACACTGCTACTATCCACAACGGCGCTCGAATTTTGAAGGTGCTGCCGTGGGTGTGGGCTTACGCGTCGTCCATAAGCTGTCGCGCGAAGCGTGTCAGTGGGACAGATGTGAAGTTGTCAGTACAGAAGATGCCAAGAGCGCCAAAGCAAAGACTTACCTGCAGTGCTGCTCGCCTGCAGACGACGCAGCATTAAGTTCTTCGCCCCATCTGAAACCAATCTCTGTGTGCCAGTGGGTACGCCTCCAGTGGCGATGTTCATGTTTCAATTGATGCTGCCACGGTCCTTGTGGGCTTACATGTCACCCGTGAGCTGTCGCGCGATTCCGAAACAGACAGCGAAGCGAAATCAGAGAAAAAACAAAGCCAGTTGCAGGCCGGTCGGGCGTGCTGAGATGGACTTCATAAAAGAAATGGAACCCGATCGTGTGGTCCGTGCGCACAAAGCACGCAATGGGACCACGTGCATGTTCGGTTTCCTTTTTTTCCAAGTCCGCTGCTCCTCTCCTCATTTCCTTCCCTCCACTACGCCTCAAGACGCCTGTGAATCGTGTGTGATGCCGACGCCATCAGCATATTCGCGTGACGCAGTGCAAATTTGGACGAGGACACGACTCTGTCTCACCACCACTGCCCCCCGTCCACGTTCATCTGCTAAAGTAAGTCCTCGCTCATTGCCAAATACGGCGCGCTCACCATCATCGCCGTTCTGCAGCATGTCGTCCTCGAGCCTTATGCCTCGCAGCGCGGGACTCGTTCAATGCCCGTGTCGGCACAGAGCTGGATGAAGAGACGGCCGTACCCGCCGACGCGACAGCGCATTCCCAAATACCGACGACCTCCATATTGACCAGTACCAAACGTGGACCGGGCGTCATTTCTGTTAGAGAGTAGAGATGGTAGGAAGTGATGAGGGTTGCCCTTGGTGCGTTTCCTCGTTCTCCCTTGCCCGCGTCTCCTAACCCAGTCTACAGTCGCTCTCTATGACTTATTTCCGCACCCTGGATGCAATGTGTGTATTTCTTCATTGCTCTTTTGACTGCTTTGTTGACAGTCTCTCCGATGTTTGTACATTCACCTCCACCACGGTACGTCGTCTCATCATTCCCAGTATGACATTTTCTTACTCTTTTTTGACTATAGCTGTGTGGGCCGAAGATGTATGGTGAACGGCGATCATGGATCGCCGCCTTGATTCGGGATAAGGCGAAAGATTTCTGTGCGCCTGGGCGTGTAACAAGGGGATGGGGATTTGTAGTGTAGATACTAGTAACCTATCCGTACACCCAGTATTTTAGTATACATGCTCAATACATTCCTTTTCATGTCATTTCATTGTGGGATCAGCCCAGTTGAGCTCGAAAAAGATGGCAAGACGCCGAAAAGACGTGTTTGTAACGGTCTTGTCGAAGACTCGGATTGTCTTGTAAAAGATGAAAAAAGTCCTGACAAGATTTTTGACCTGGCCTGTGCAAGATTTCGTGTCTTTCGCGTCTTTTAGGTCTTTTTGGTCTTGCCGCAAGACCAAAAAGACCTAAAAGACGTGTTGGCTGTTTTCCTGATGTAACCAGTTAAATATCGAACGGCGCGATATTCGAGGTATCCTGCGCAACCCTAATATTGTCATTACCAGGGCCTGAGGGCTTGAAGTTCACACTGCACAGGCAACCTTTCAGATTCATCATGAAAAACTGTGCTTGTAAATGTATCAGATTGAGCTGTGAGCATTGGAATATGCTCAGGATTGACATCACCAGTCATCTTCAATCAAAGTCATTCAGTCATACAGCATCTGAATTTGGCTTATATTGGTCCCCCATTTATTCTTGACTACTCCCATCTCCCTCATCCACTGTCTTCTTGCATGATATGTGATATTATCTTTATCCCAGCCCATGTCTATTGTTTATTGCTAGTAAGATATAACACAAGTCACAAGATTTCAGCAAGTGCCCAGTACTTACTGTATCCAAACTGTATCACCTGGAACGAGGAAGAATGCAGCTTTTGTTGATGCGTAAATTGGGTGAGATGCGCTCTCGTAATCTCGGGAAAAGTGTATAAGAAACAGAAATGCAACCGAGGGAGTGAATCCAATTAATCGGAGCCAAATGAATACGCACTGGAGACATAAACATGCCATGGACTGTCATCATCAGCTACAATTTGAATGAAAATAGAAGGTAGCACCTGCTCACGACACTGATGCGGTGGAAATTGGTAGTCTACGCGTTCCACTTAGAGAAGCGGATGCGCGGGATCACGTTCACAGAGTTCTTCGTCGGGTGTAAAGCAAGAGATGAGCCTAAGGAGTCGGTACGACGCGTCCGCGTTCGGCTAGGTTCAATCTGACAAGGAGAGATATAAACCATTCCAACACATCCAGAAGATAATCAACCCATGGCGAGTGTAGAGGGCGTGAGCGAGGCGCCTCGTAGCGCCTTCAAGTTGAGCTCTGAGTATGACCGTCCTGGAGAAAAGGTAGCAGCTCCCACAGATCAAGTTCGTCGTAGGTTTACGATCCATGATAAATGCCAAGGGACTGGGGGAGAACGACGAGTCGACTGGTCAAAATACCGAGGTTTTATTTCGAGGGCCCTAGAGAGTGAGCCAATGTGTACAGCATACCTTGGACGATGACATATCCTGTTCGTCATTTATCCTTCGACGACGCGCGGCACCATGGCAGAAACAGAGGCGACCAGATGGCGAGATGGTGGTTTGGAGCTGAGAGGGAACTTCCTCTTTCGGACTCGATCGCGTTCAATCGGTTGACTTCTTGCCACCACCACGATTTCTTTTTCGCGACGGTAAATAAACTCGACAACGCAGCCTGCAGTCTCTTGTGGAGAACGTACTTGGACCCAATACCTCCTCCTGACAGTGACGGCACTCTAGAGCGAAAGCTCATCAACTGTGTTTCCGTTCCTTCCGCTTTGCCAATATTGGTCAAAATACTCCTTCATTCCTGCAAGTCCATAATACGTTAAATGCCTATCTCTTCATTCTAATCTGGTCCCACAATTACAGACCTTGCCACAGTGGAAATGCCGTCACCGAATTATCCGAGTTCCATTCCAATCTCCATCTGCCAGGCAGTGCAGTGGGGTATAGAAGGGCCTCATACACATACGGTGCACCCAACTACGCCTCCGTTATGGCTTACCCGGTAAATCATCTGGAACGCCAGTGCTTTGGTCGTCAGCCAAGAAGACTTTCCGGACCACCTGGAACTGCCGGTTTACAAGCCGATATCTGTTGTACGCGATGCTATATCCGTAGGCACACGGATACCATGAACGCTAAATTGGAGGATTGCAATCGGCGACTGGAGGCACTTGAGATGTCGGCTCGTTCGACATTCGGTGCAAGGGTAAAGAGCATGTTTGGTGCATCTTCTCGGAAACCTCAGTCGTCAAGAACGTGAGTATTCAACTCTCGGCTGCTCCGGATGTCTTCTAATCTACCTTCAACCTATTTCAGATCAAGATGCCTACTTCCCCAGTCCGATACCTGCTACGAGATGTGCACTTCATTTGCCCCTCCCGCCTATATCGAGAAACCTTCGAGGGCCACCTCGTCAGACGTACGTATTTATTGGCATATTCCCTGGCGCATACTTACCCAACCCAAAGACAAATACATTTCCGAACGCGCAACGCAAGAAAGTGCACTTTGCAGACTTTCAGAGCGTATCCAAGAGGCTGGAGAGCCCCGACCCTTATAAGTTCATCAACCCTTCGACCGAGCTCCCA